GGGGGGGGGGGGCCGCGGCCCGTCCGCCCAGCCCTCACAGCCCGCCTCCAAGGGAAACTGAGAGGGTAGTGTGTGGGGAAGCGTTGGCACAGCAGCAGCTGCACGCGGTTGGCAGAGTTTGGCACGCGGGTGCAGTCGGCGATCCATCCGCCAAAACCGGTTAGGCGCCAAGCCGAGCCGTGCTGCCCAATTCGGCCTCGATTCCGGTCCACCCACTGCCGCCCCTCACCGGCCTCATCCACTCGGCATGCCGTGTGTAACCATCATGGGGCCCGGCTCGATCTTCTTACCCACGCTTGCAGCCCCGCCTCCCTTGGCTTATATACTTGCAGTCTATCCACAAACGGCTCCGCATCCAACTACCTCCACGCCCCCACACCTCCTCCTCCCCTTCCGCCAACAACCACCACCGTCCCCTTTGTACCACCTTCTGCTGCCTTTGCACCGCCTCGATCCCATCTAGAAACTTGCTCCGCCACCCGCACATCATGGCGCCCCCTCGCTTCATCGAGCTGCCTGCGGGTCTCAAGCCCGCCGGCGTCTCCGGCTCCGAGCTCCTCGCACACGAGCGCTCCAAGGCCTCCTTCGACTCGCGCGCCATGGCCGAATACATCCACGGCAAGGAACACCTGGAGCTCCAGGAACGCCTCGTCTCCATCCTCAGCCAGGACCCCGTGTTTGACAAGACCTCCGACGCATACTACGGCCGCGCCGACAAGTTCCGCCGCGCCATGCTCAAGGACAAGCGCCTCGCCCAGCTCGCAGACGAGCTCCAGTGGGGTCAGACCGAGATCCACATGGCCGAAAAGCTCGCCGACATCCCCGGCCCCATGGGTCTCCACAAGAGCATGTTCCTCACCACCCTCTACAACCAGGGCAACGACGAGCAGCGCAAGGTCTTCTACGAGCCCGCCTCAAAGTACCAGATCATCGGATGCTACGCCCAGACCGAGCTCGGCCACGGCTCCAACGTGCAGGGCATCGAGACCACAGCCACCTGGATCCCCGAGTCGCAGGAGTGGGAGATCCACAGCCCCACCCTCACCGCCTCCAAGTGGTGGATCGGCGGCCTCGGCAGGACCGCAGACCACGCCGTCGTCATGGCACAGCTCATCACCAACGGAAAGAACTACGGCCCCCACCCCTTTGTCGTCCCCATCCGCGACGTCAAGACGCGCGAGGTCCTCCCCGGCCGCACCATCGGCGACATCGGTCCCAAGGCCGGCTACAACACCACCGACAACGGCTTCATGCTCTTTGAGCACGTCCGCGTCCCGCACCTCAACCTCCTCGCGCGCTTCTCCAAGGTGGAGCCAGAGACGGGCAAGTACCTCCCGCCTCCCAACGCCAAGCTCGCCTACGGCACCCTCACCTGGGTGCGCGCCAACATTGTGCGCGATGCCTCGACCGTCCTCATGCGCGCCGTCACCGTCGCCATCCGATACTGCGCCGTCCGCAGGCAGTTTGCCGACCGCGATGCGCCCAAGTTCGGCCAGGACGGAAAGCCGCTCGAGACTCAGGTGCTCGACTACACCATGGTCCAGATCCGTCTCTTCCCCATCCTCGCACAGGCGTTTGCATTCCACTACACCTCGCGCTTCATGTTTGAGCTCTACGAGCAGAATCAGGCCAACATCGAGTCGGGCGATCTCTCGCTCCTCGCCGACACCCACGCCTCCAGCTCGGGTCTCAAGTCGCTCACCACGCTCTACGCCAGCGACGCCATCGAGGTGTGCCGCAAGGCGTGTGGTGGTCACGGCTACTCGATGGCTTCTGGTCTGCCCGAGTTCTACGCAAACTACCTGCCCAACGCCACGTGGGAGGGCGACTCGTACATGCTCTCGCAGCAGTGCACGCGCTACCTCTTCAAGACCATGCGTGCCATCAAGAGCGGTCGTGGCAAGGTGGACAAGAACATCACCACCGACTACATGCAGCGCTACCTCGACAACAAGCACGAGAAGGCTGCCATCCAGTTCTCGGGCGATCTGTACGACCCGCTCTTCTTCATGCGCGCCTTTGGGCACCGTGCCGCCTATCTGACCGAGCAGACGCTTGCGCTGCGCGACGATGCCAAGCGCTCCTGGAATTCGCTCCTCGTCGAGCTGTACCGTTGCTCCAAGGCGCACTCGCAGTACCTGCTCGTGCGCAACTTTGGCATGGCCATCCTCAAGGACGAGAAGCTCAACTCGCAGCCGGCTCTGCGCCAGATTGTCCAGAAGATCTTCCTCCTCTGGGCATGCCACACCATGGAGCAGGAGTCGGCCGACTTCCTCGCTTCCGGCTACATTGACGGCAAGCAGTTCCACCTCCTCGGTTCCAAGGTCCAGGAGATCATGGCTGAACTCCGTCCCAACGCCGTTGCGCTTGTCGACGCTTTCGCCGTGCCCGACTACCTCCTCAACTCGGCCCTTGGCCGCTCGGACGGCAACGTCTACGAGGCGCTCTTCGACTTTGCCCTCCGCGAGCCCCTCAACTCGGTCAGGTGGAACGTCGACATCAACGACTTGGAGACGACCGACATCGACTCGGACCTGCCGCGCTCCAAGCTCTGACCTGCTAAGTGTATATCATAGACCAGCCTGTTTCGTTGAAATAAGTCACCTTCCCTATAGTGTAGAGTTGCGTGTGTGAGGCATCCCCACCAAAAGCATGTGAGTAGCGTGAGAGGCTCATGGCAAGGTCGACTCGATCGCCGATCCGCATCGGTGCTCGGTTGCCGCCCCGGTTGTGCTGTTTGCCGCCATCCGCTTGCTACCTTGGAGTAGCTTTCCCGCTCTCGTTGCCGGCTACTTGGGCAAAAGTATGATCCCGGACCAAGATCAAACGAGCAACGAGGCTCAAAGTCGGCCAAGGGGACCCAAGTGTCGCAGTGGGCGGCCATGTGGTGACCGTCCATGGTTGGATTTGTATTGCCGAGTGAGTGCAGGATTGGCCCGGCAAAGTCGCCGAGGTGCTTTGCGAGGTGGATGCGCTCGTGCACACGCCAACTCGGCTGGATTCACTCCGCTCCCCCGCGCTTTCGCCCCCACAACGAGAGCAGCTTATCGGTCTTGCTGTGTGTTTGAACTGCACTTAGTCCCGTCTTGTTCCGTCTCTCCACACCTTGCCCCCCCGCACAGATATAATCCCTCCGCGCACCTTGTCCCACCGACATTCTTTCACCAACTTTGCGATCATGGCTTCACGCGCAGCGTTTGACTGGTCGGTGACCGATCCGCACCACAACGCCTCGTACATGCGGTTTGCATCGCGCCGCTCCACGGTGCTCTCGACCAAGGGCGTGGTGGCGTCGTCGCAGCCGCTGGCGTCGTCGGCGGGTATCGAGATTCTCAATGCCGGTGGTAATGCTGCCGATGCGGCCGTGGCGGTGGCGGCGGCACTCAACGTCACCGAACCCTGCAATACCGGTATCGGCGGTGATGCCTTCTGCCTTTTCTACGATGCGCAGAAGCGCAGCGTCCGTGCGTTCAATGGCTCGGGCAGGGCACCGCAGGCCATGACACTCGACGTGCTGCGCCAAAAGGGCGTTGAGGGTGTCGAGATCCCGGGCAACAGCATCCACAGCGTAACTGTCCCCGGTGCAGCCGCGGCCTGGATCGACACGGTGGAGAAGCTGGGTAGCGGCAAGCTGTCCATGCACGACATCCTCGCGCCGGCGATCAGGCTTGCCGAACAGGGATACCCTGTGCATGAGAACACGGCATATCTGTGGGGGCGTAGCGAAAAGCTCATCAAGGCCGCTTCGGCCAATGCGGACGAGATGCTGTTCGAGGGCCGCGCGCCGAGGACGGGCGAGCTGATGCGCATGCCGAATCTCGCACGCACCTTCCGCGAGCTCGCCACCAAGGGCAAAGAGGGCTTCTACACGGGCCGCATCGCGCAGGCCATCGTCGACCTGGTCAAGAGCCAGGGCGGTGTGCTGGAGCTCGAGGATCTTGAGGACCACCTCGAGCGCGGGACGGAGGAAGTGACGCCGATCCAGTACACGTACAACCACCCGGCCAAGGCGGGCGATCTGGCCGGCAGCGAGGGCGTGACGATGTACGAGTGTCCTCCCAACGGACAGGGCTTGACGACGCTTGTTGCGCTCGGGATTCTGGACGAGCTGCAGAACCAGGGCAAGGTGGCGGATCTTGCGACGCTGGAGCACAACAGTGTCGAGTATCTGCATGCGCTGATCGAGGCGCTGCGGCTGGCATTTGCCGATACGAGGTACCATGTCTCGGACCCGCACCACTCGGAACACGATGTAGCTAAGCTGCTGCTGGACCAGCGATACCTTGCACAGCGGGCGCAGCTGTTTGATGCATCGCGTGCCAGCGTGGACCTCGAAAAGGGCAGTCCGGCCAATACGTGCGATACGGTCTACTTCTCCGTCACGGACAAGGACGGCAATGCATGCAGCTTCATCAACTCCAACTACGCCGGCTTTGGCACGGGTGCCGTTCCCGCCGGATGTGGCTTCACCCTCCAGAACCGCGGTGCGGGGTTCACGCTGACCGAGGGCCATCCGAACTGCATCGCCCCGCGCAAGAGGCCGTACCATACCATCATCCCCGCCATGGCTACGCGCGGCGACGAGCTCTTCCTCAGCTTCGGCGTGATGGGCGGCTTCATGCAGCCCCAGGGCCAGGTGCAGGTGCTCATCAACATCCTCCACCACGGATTCACCGTGCAGGACGCGCTCGACGCCCCGCGCTTCTGCATCGGCGCAGGCATGGCTGGCCCAGAAGGCGCCACCAGCGAAGTGTACTTCGAAGAGGGCGTCAGCCAGCACGTGGTGGACCAGCTCGAAAAAATGGGCCACAAGGTCAAGCTCGTCAGCGGCTGGGGCAGGTTCCAGTTCGGAAGGGGCCAGGTGATTCAGAAAGTCCACAACGACGCCGGCAAGCTCGTCTGGGCTGCAGGATCCGATCCGCGTGCCGACGGACAAGCCATCGCCCAGATCTAAGTCCCCCCTCCCCCTTTCCCTCATCCAATGTTGTGGACATGCAATCAATGCCGTGTGAATCAAAATCAAAGTGTTGCCCCATGTCGATACGCTAGTGGTAGTACAGATTGTACTTGGTCTGCACATCGTCCTTGCCGTGAAAGCGCCAAGTGATGCGCAGGACATCAGCATCGAACCCCTCTGACCGACTTGGTGGCTGGACCTGCTTGAACCAGCTGTCGATCGCAGTGAAGGGCAAGATCTCCCGCTTTGACTCGTGGTCGGCCGCGGGGCCGTGGTGTGCGCGAAAGTGGTTGTTGTGCACACACACGTGCTTGGGCACGTCAAAGTAGACGCACCGGATGCGCACGCCCGTCTGCCGGGCCAGCTCGATGTAGTGCTTGCGCGTCGCGCGGTCGCGATTCGTATTATCCACCACGCACGACTGGCCCGCGGCGATGGTGTCGGCGACGACGCGCAGACACTTGTCGCGCGTGCGCAGCGCGTCCTGGTTCACATGCACGTAGTGCGCGGGTGCAAACACGCGCTGGAACAGAAACGTCTTGCCCGACGCAGGCGCGCCGACGAACAGCACGATCTCGGACCCACTCGCGCCGTCGCCCAGAACAATGCGACGGCCGTCCTTGCCCTCGTTCAGCTCGGACAGATCGACGCTCATCATCTCGTCCTCCGGCAGCGCGACCAGCCCTTTCAGCGATGGACCAGGCTTTAGTGCCGACGGGCTCCACGGTCGCGCGGGCACCTCGTACTCCTTGTCCTTGCCGAGAAAGTACTCTTCGGGCGTGAAGAAGCTGATGCGCGCATTGAGCGCCCACTTGAGGTCCGTGTCTTGGTGGTCGCGGTACTTGCTCCTCCCCGCCGCATCGCCCACGAAGAAGCTGCTCTCCCGGTCCACCTCGACGCCTCCGTTCCAGCGCTCCGTAAACTCGACCCACGAACCCAGTCTCGGCTTGCGATAAGCATCGTCCCCGAGCGCAGCGAATACGCGCATGGGCACATCGATTGCCGCAGCAATGTGCGCCATCTTCTTCTTCCATGTGACCAGCCCGTTCTTCGCCGAGTACGCCGTCTGCTTCTGATTCGTGATGAGCACGATCGCAAACTGCTGTGCGTGTTGCTGGCGGATACGTGCTACGACGGAGCGATCGGACGAGGCACCGCCGAGGCCCGCTCGTGGCGACGAGAAGAGGAACTCAAAGTCGTACTCGTCCGTCTTGCTCGGAAACGTCTTGCCGCCCTTGGGCCGCACGATGGTGCCGTCCAAGTCGTAGAACGCCACCTTGGCGCTGGGCGCTGGCTCGCCGTATACTCCGTGTAAGCAGCTCTTGGCCGGTCCGATCGGACTGAGCCACTTCAGTCCTGATCCTGACGAGCATGTGCCAGCCGCAGAAGACGTGGAGCGGGGCTGGAAGATGGATGCCAGTTTAGGTTTCGGTGCGCCCTTCGCCGTGGACGTGCCTGGCGCTTTGATGGGCAGGATGGGCTCGTCGCCATCCGAGGAGTCGGCGCGTGCCTTCTTGTCTGGCACATCGGCGCTGGTATCGACGGCGCGCTTCATGGTGAATGCGGCGCGCAGCACGGGCACGCGAGGGCTGCGCCGATACCAGCACGCCGCACCAGCGCTCGAGAGGCTCGCAGCTCGTAGCAGCCACACGGTCACGGTGAATCGCGGCGTTGCTACGGAGAGATTTCAGCTAGCCGTGCTGCGTAGGCGCCATCACGTGTCGGGAATGAGCTGAGCACGATGGTTGTCGGGAGTGAGAAGGGCGAGGCCACCCTGCAGGTGCATTTGTGTGGCCCGAGCACTTCTAAAAAATAAAACAATGAGGAAACGAAAAGCGAAAAAAGTGGCGACAAAAAGGGCCGCCAAGTTGGACAGCTTTTAATACCTGCTCATCCTCACCCGCCTTCTTCGCACCCTCAGGTCCTCCCGTCCTTGCCTTCGTCCACCCCCAGGTCCTCTCGTCCTTGCTATCGTCACACCCTCACGCACTTTGGCACGTGTCAAGACACATGCGAGTGTGTTCACAACATCGAAATGTAGCTAGTCTGACATTGAGCACTATTCTAGCGCGCATCTACTCGCTCGACGTCGTATTCTGCGCTACGACGGGCGGACACTCTGGCCTGGTCAAGTTGGCACCCAGCTGGCCACCGAGCCAGATAGCCACCCCATTGGTCCAACCAAAGCCAACCTGGACCTCGTATTCACCGCCGCCGCCGGCAGCGTTGATATCGCTCGCGTTGAACTTCTCAAACATGTTGCCGATGGCGGTGGAGGCGTTGAGGCCGTTGGCGGTCAGCACATCGTCCGGCACCGCCTGGAAGTTGGGGTCGGTCGTGTTGAGCTTTCCGCCCGTAGCCCTCCACGAGCACAGGGCGGACGCGACGTAGCGGTTGGCGAGCTCCCGCACGAGCTCGTCGCGCCAGCTCTCGCCCGTAGTCGAGTTGCCTACGTTCATGATCGGGTTGAGCTCCTGCTCCGGATTGTTCGGGTCGGTAGCGCCCGCCTGGGTCTCGTTGATCATGCTGCCCGGCTGGTACTCGATGGGCTGGATGGGCAGGCTGTCCTGCGTCTGACCGAGCTGGTTCGTGCCGTTGGTCATGGGGATGAGTGCAAACGTGCCGTTCTCAGCCGGAAGCTGCGGACCCGCGGAGAGCGAGTCGGGCAGGTTGCGCAGCGCCTCGAGCGCAATGTACGTGTGCGGAGGCCAGGCGTTGGCAAAGTCCCACTGCTGACCCGTCGTGACGAGCGAGGCAGGAATCGTGCCGTTGAATCGATCAATGATGTATCGCAGACCCGAAAAGACGCCCTGCAGATTCTGCCTGCGCTGGTCGAGGCTGATGGTCTCGTTGACAAACTCCTGCGGCAGGATCTGCGCCCAGAGCGGGAAGAAGCCAGCCGGGGTGTAGTACGGCGCACGGTCACCCAGAGTCACGTTGAAGTCGTAGAAGAACTTCCGGCTCGGGTCCCAGAAGACGTCCAGCACCGCCTGCTTACGAGCCTGCGCCTGCTGTGCCCAATAGTTGGCCCGCGTCATGTTGCTCTGAGTACCGTTGCCCGACACCTTGTAGAAGGCCGAGAGCTTCTGCTCGCATGCGAACAAGATGGCGTTGAGGTCCACAGGCAGCTGCTGGGCCGTGTTGAGGAATCGCTGCGCAGGGATGGTGTCGGTGAGGTTGATGGTAGGACGCTTCGACCATCGCGCGCCCGAGTAGTCGCTGCCACTCTCGGCACCCGAGGCGAGGTCCGAGTACAGCTGCGCCTTTTGCGTGTCGTTGAGCTCCAGACCCGACTCGGACGCATCCTCGACGGTCTTGTAGTCCTCGAGGTAGCTCTCGGGGCGCGGTGCCGAGGTGTCGACCTTGTAGTGCGTAATGTTGTGCGTGTTGTTGGTGAAGGGCGAGGTGAACTCGATGGTGCGGTTGTTCCTCCAGAACTCCATCTCCTTCTCGAGAAGCGGAAGGAAGCGCTGCAGCACCGACGTATCGTTGTACGCCTCGATGTACTTGTCGATCATGAGCGTGAAGAAGGGTGGCTGCGATCGGTTTTCGTAGTAGACACGGTTGCCGTTGGGGATGAAGCCGAGGCGGTCGATCAGGTCGCCAAAGTTCTCGAGGATCGCCTTGACGACCGACTGGAGCTGCGAGGTGATCAAACCTTCAATCACAAAGAACGTATCCCAGTAGTAAAGCTCTCGGAAGCGGCCGCCGGGAACGACAAAGACGCGGCTCTCGTTGAAGGGGATGAACGAGCTGACGCAGCCGTCGCACTGGACGCCCGAAGGGCTCGACGAGTTGGTCGTGCGTGCGAGCAGCTCCCAGTACGAGTGCACCTGCTTGAGCCAGTCGCGCACCACCTCGTCCTCGACGCCCTGCAGGAACTCGGGGTCTTGAACAAACTCTTCGCCCAGGTCAGCGGGCACAAGCTCGACTCCTTCGGCGACAAAGTTGTCATCGACGAACTGCACGATCTCTTCGTAGGTGATGTTGCTGGTGTTGCCGCCGCCGAGCTTGTTGAAGTTGTCGAGCACCTCGGATTCGGGCTTCGAGGTGGCCTTGTCGACGAACGTCTTGCTGTCCTCAAAGATGCCAGCCAGCTGCACCGCCTGGAGCAGCGGGCCAGGGCAGTAGATGGGCGAGGTGCACAGCTCCTGCGACGGAGGCAAGGGTCCCGAAGGAATCATGGCCGACGGCGTCGTGGTCGCCGAAGGAACGGCTGCAGGCGGCTTCTCGGTGAGCGGATTGACCGAGGAGCTGGAAGCAGCGCCGCCCGAGGTGGCTGTTCCGCTCGAACTCGCGGAAGCGGTGGCGGTGCTGGTGAGCGAGCTCGATCCGGACGCAGACGAAGCGGTGCTCGAGCCCGTCATGGAAGCAGATGAAGCAGACATCGAGGAAGAGGCATCTTGGGCTGCCACTGCTGCCACGGCCGGCAGCAGCAAGGCCAGCGTCTTGAGAGCTGGAAGCCGCATCGTTCTCAATGGGGAGGTGGATGAAGGGGCTGTTGGTGGAGACACGGTGGAGGACGACACACTGGAAGTCTGACTATATATGGCCAGTCGGCATGGCTAGCCTGATCCGAAGACATGCCAGGGTCGGCACCAGATGAGTGGCCATGCAAACCACGTGTGATGCTATTTCTGCCGCATAGCTGTGGTCCCACCTGTCTCGCGGACGATGGACTGGGGATGAAGCGCGGGGGAGGGCAGCCATAGGAGAGAGGGCGGGGTGAGCTTGTTTGGCAGGGCGGAGGCTGCCAAGCCCGGCCGGGCAACGTCACTGACGCATGTGAGGCAGCGTTTGTGCGAGGTCATCATGTCTCAGAAGGCTTAAATTTTTTTGCGTCGCAGCGGGGACTTATGCTGGGCAGGACAGCCGCCGCCGAATTTGGGGGACCGGCATGAGCACAAGCTGCATGGTCACGACAAGCGAAGTTGCGGGCCTCCACGGCGGATATATGGCAGCTCTGTCCAGACTCACGCTGTGGGGTACCAATTCGAGCCGTCCTCGATTGACTCGGCGACGCTACCGAGCGGCGCCCCATCGCGTGGCTACGGATTCGCAAACAAGGCTAGTGGGCATGATCTGCACGCACAGAGGTACGCAAACACGAGGAAGATTCTCGGTCGAATTCAGACGGCCAGAAAGCTCGGCTGGACACCATGAGGCGGCCATCGCGGCCGAGGTGAACAAGGTGGGCAAGCGAGCGCCGCTGCGTTGCTGGGGTGAGTGGTGCTTGCGCGGCGAGGCGTTCCTGGCCGCGGTTGCACTATTGCGCGTGGGGTTGGTTGCCGATCGTACTCGCTTAGGATGCCGAAGCAGACGCTCGGCGGTGCTGCGACTGCTCAACAGGCCATTCGATCGTCGAGGGCAACACCAAGCAGAGTAGGCGCGGGTCGCAGGTCAGGTCGTACTCTGCATCTCGAGCATGGCAACTCTAATCGCAATATAGACTCGCCGCAGTGTGACGGCGTTTTGGCTGGGCAAGATCAAGCTCCGCTGCTTCCAGGTTGATTCGGAGCGGACCTAGGGCGGGAATCTGCTGGTCCCGTCCATTCTCGCACCACTTGAGCTACTGGCGCGAGGATGATCTAGTCATTGCAGAACGGCTTGTGGTGTGCAAAGCGACTCGTGCTTTCAGGTGGCCAAAGGCAGCGTGTGATGGCGGCGGGTCTGCGTACGACTTCGCTGGGGCTCTTGTGACGTCGCCGTGCAGTCACAGTGCGCTCAAGAAAGGCTTCCCGCAACATTTTTTGAGCCTGTTAAACTCTTCAAAACTCATCGCCGATCAGCTTCGGAGAGCCATGTTGTCGCCGATGGATCGGGGAAATCGCCGTTGGTGAAGGTTGCTGACATTTTGTGAACAGCATGTTCATGCGGAAGGAGTGTTCCGCCACTTATCCGCGGACAACGGATGCAGACGGTGGCCCGCTCAAGCCACTCGACGTCATGTCATGGGGCCGGACGCATCGATTGGCTGGCTTGCGTTCGGCATGGATGGACTTCACCCCACCAAGACGACGTCAACGAGAGATCACGAGGCAACCGCTTCTACACCCGGGCATGTGGGAGTTTTTGAGGCAGCGATTGACAGTGGGATGGATCGTCTGATCACGCGAGGAGATCGCCATGATCGCATGCGCCGTGGAGATGGACTCCATCCTTCATCATGGCGGCCGGCTCTGGCACCAGGGGTTCAGAGATTGCCGGCCGAAGACAAAGTGCAGGTGGGGCGGCGGTAGGGCGGTCCGGTTCAGGTTGATCAGCGGGTGGGGACCGGTTCGGCATTGCCGTGGCAAGGCGGCGCCGTGCGAAATTGAAATTTCATCCAAAGGCAAGAAGAGGTGTGGTGGTGGAGCGGAATTTGGCTTCGGATTTGGGCCGCGCCCGCGCGCGCGCACATGCCTCTCTGCTGACTGGCAGACGCGGCGGCTGAACCCTTTCTCCCACCCGCCCTGAACGGTGGGCAGCGCGGCGGAAACCGAAACTCTCTCCCCCCCACCTGCGCCGATCCGCGACCCGCCATTGTCAACTTTGCTCCGCCATCCAGCCAGCCAGCCAGTGATCCGAGATCGATGAGCATCGGACTTGACCCGCCAAAGCGAACGCCTGAAATGAAATTGCCAAGACCTAGGTGTGGCGAGCCGAGTCGAAACAGAGAGGAGGGAGGGAGAGATGGAGAGGGGAACTGCGCCCATACCTGGTGGTGCATTGCCGTGGTTGCATGGAATCAGCGCCATTTCGAGCGCGGCGAGCGAGGCGAGAGAGCGCAGCGCATTCTTGGCAAGTGGGCATTGCGTTGCAGGATCAACCGAGGACTGTTTTCCGCCATCGCAGCGCAACTGGGCTGGCCGCTCTTTTGTGTGCGCAGGTTGAGTTGACCGGCCGTGACGAGTCGGGGCAAGGGCGACATCTACATTCCAACAGGCTCAGACCAACCAGGACCCTCGGCCACGAGAAAATCCAGGGTGGCTAGCTAGCGCCGGCTTACTTCCGAGAGCACGCGCTCTGGCTCCTTTGCTCCGCCTTGTCGATACGGCTCAATTCAGCCGATCCCGTCGGCCATTCCGTCCGCGGTGCAATGCCAGCCTCGCAGACCTGGCATAGGAGTATCCTGCGTGTCTACAGCGCCCAGCATCGCCGCCAACTCATCTGGCTTGCTAGCTTGCTCGCTCGCTCGCTCTGATCTCCGGGGCGCAATCGACCGTGGGCTGCTGCTCCTGAGTGTGAGTTATCGGAAGGCCCGCGCTCCACTTTGAGCCCCTCTTTCGGTTCGTTCCCGTTCGGAGCTGCTGGCCGCTTCCCACCAAGGCCATCCTCGGCGCTCTTCCCTCTGTTCCCGTCGGTCTTGTTCCTTGATCTCTTGGCTGCGTCGGTCGAATCACCCGCATCGGTACCTCCGACAACTGTTCGACTGCCGCTTTGCGACTTCATTTGTGCTTGCCAACCTTCGCATCTCTATCTCCATCGCGACCGATTGCCTGGCTTGCCCGTCTTACGCCAACCTCCGAACACATCGCTACGCCTCTTTGCTCCGCCTTGACCTGCAACCACTCACAGCAACCCTCCAGCTTCGACTTCACCTCAACTCGCCATCGCCATCGCCTTCGTCGGATCGGATCCGCACCGACGCCTTCGTGAGAACCTTCTCCCGCCGCACGCCAACGAGGACGATAGCACCACCACCTACAGGCAGCGATGCACCGAATCTAAGCATCCAAGCACTGCACATTCATCCATACACCACCATGGACGGCGCACAGTATGCCAGTCGCAAGGGCAAGCGTGCCCTCGTCGACTCGTGCCCGTCCTCGTCCAGCAAGATCCCCAGAACATGTCCGCCAATCAGCTCCGGGGCCGATCTGCCACCATACTGCCCCAACACCTCTGCTACCAACGCATGCCCGTCCTGCAACCGAGCCGAAGTCCAGCAGAGTCATCGTTCTCGCAGCCCGCAGGCATCGTCGCCGTCGCCGTCATCGTCGTCGTCATCATCATCGCGTGCTGTGTCCAGCGCCGACCCGTTTCCACGATACGAGCTCGGCATCCCGCATCTCGATGTCTTGCTTCCCACCCGTGATGGCCTTGACCTCCTTCACGCCTACCAGCAGGGCGTCGGCTGGATCAACACGCCCGTCGATCGCACCACCCTCCTCGAGACGCTCGAAGAGGCTCAGCGCCACGGCCCCACCTCGATTCATCCGCATCGCCTCGCCTGCCTCCTCGCCGCTCTCGCTCTCGGCGACCTCTTCGGCCCCTGCTTTCCATCCTCGCTTCCATCCTCCTCCCGTCCATCCGCCCACTCGCCTTCCAAACGCGGCAAGATTTGGTTTGGCGTCGCCTCTGCATGCCTAGCAGGCTCGCGCCCCGACATCGAGCTCATGCACAGCCCCACCCCGGACGCCTGCTCGGCTCTCTACCTCATGTCCATCTATCTGCTCTGCTCCAACGACGACGAGCTCTTCCAGCGCTCACAAGGTCTCACCGGCCTTGCGCTCATCCTGGCAAAGGCCGCCCTTGTGCCGTCGTGCCTCCCGTCCTCGCGTCCCATCGCATCGCGCCATACCACCGCTTCCGCCTCTCTGCACGCCAACCTGGTCACCCCCTGGCAGCCCGTGCCTTCTACCGCCGCACAGAGCGGCGACAACGACCGGCTTCAGTGCAATCGTCTTCTCAGCGATCTCATCTTCCATCTCCAATGCCAGGTCCTCACCCTCGCCCTCCCTTGCACTTCAAAGGAGGCTGGCAACGTCGGTGCGATCCCCTTGCTCGCCAACGTCCCCGACATCCCCACAATCCAGGCCATCTGGACCGCGTTCGGAACTCCACTCTACGCCAGCATCGACGCTTTCGGCAGTCGCTTCAGCCCCAACATCTTTCACAACTGGAAGCTCGGCCTGGCCGACCTTATGCACCAGGTTTCGTGCCTCACCAGTCCGAGCACTGCAGCTAAGCCCACATCGCCCTCGTCATCCTCCGCTGCCGGCCTCCAAGCCGCAGACAAGGACGCAGATGTGCGCCCGGCCAAGCCGAGTCTGCCCGATCATTCGCAGATCGTCAAGCTCGACGAGCGCATCCGACGCTATCACGCCAGCCTGCCCGACTTCCTTCTCCTCCACCGGCCCTTGCCCGTCGAGATGGCCGGAAAGGTTGACGAGGACGAGCTCGCGCAGATCATTTGCCAGCGTCACATGGCCTGCTCCATGGTCCACCGCATGCTGATGGCGCTCCACCGTCCGTGGTTCCTCTCGGCGCTTGCTACAAAGTCTCGCCCTCCGCACACCAAGACCGCTGCGAAGCATGGGCAGGCTGACATCGCACGAGGGTCCGAAACGGCACAATCCAACAAGGGCGACTCCGCCCCACCGGCGCCGCAGCCTTCTGCATCGGACATGTACTCCTTGTCCGCTGTGCTCCGTTCGGCAACATGGCAGACCGAGACGTTCGCGAGCGCGGCATCGTGCGCGCCTCCGCAGGCTCTCGCTTGGTGGCAATTCACCAACAATGCGCTTGCAGCGTCGGTCGTGCAGGCGACGGCTCTGCTTCGACTGTGCGGTTCCGGTGCGCCTGGTGCCGGCTCCTCCGGGTCAGCCAAGGTAGCCGGAACGGCGACGAGCGAGCCCCGTACCGCCACATCCCAATTCCACCGCCAGGTGCGCACCGACCTCGACAAGAACGTCTGCTCGTTCCAGAACGTCGCCAAGCGCTGCAAGCTCGCAGCGCGCGCCTTGCCCTTCCTCCAGCGCGTATGCGCCGCCATCGACACGGGCCTCTGCAAGTCCAAGACGCAGCAGATGCCCGACACCGACGCGTTGCAGACCAGCCTGGATGAGTCCGAGAGACCCTTGGACCACAACGAGCTGGACGCATGCGGCCTGCGCACTAACCTTCCACAGCATACGTCCCCATCCCAACATAGACCCGACACGGACAACAGCAACAGCATCAGCACACGCATTCATCCCGAGACCGCTTCCGACATCAGCAACAGCATCAGCAACAGCATCAGCATCAACAGCAACATTAACAGCAAGGGTCACCTGGCCAGCAACAGTAAAGTAACCAACGACAACAACATTGCGGGCGCCAGCAAGACGACCATCCTTATGAAGACGAGCAAGGCCGCGACCGACGGCAGTTGTTCGCACAGTAGCAGTGGCGAGGAGGCTGCTTCAGGGCTGCGGCCTGCTCTGCATTGCCCGCGGGGTGAGGCCGAGACCGCCTGTGCCCGGACCGAGCAGTTGGACAGCCGACCGGCCGTGGCCGTGCGCCGCGCATCGAGTGCCAACTCACGCGCAGGCTCGGATCTCGAGGCAATCTTCGGTCCGATCGCCCAGGGTCTCGAGCCGCCCGAGGCGACGAGTGCGCCGCGCACGAGTGCGGGTCTGGCCAAGCCTTTCTACCGCCAGAACTGGGACCCGCTGTCCGTGCCGCGCGACGCGGATCGGAGCAGCTCGCAGGCGCCGCACAGCGACGCGGGCTCATCGTCGTCGAGCACCATGCCTGTCACACCGGCGGCGACACTGGGTTCGCGCTCGCCTCGCCTGGGCTCCCGTGTAGAGGTTCCTGACGCGACTCCATCCGCGGTTGGCAGTGGCAACGAAGGCCAGCCACCGACCACGGCGACGACGACATCAAGAAAAAAGACGAGCTTCGAGTCGGATCTGGTGCTGCAGTGCATCCGATTTTGGCAGCCGGATCTGCTCGCTATGCCGTCGCGCGCCTCAGCCGCTCCGGGCAACACTTGAGAGTCGGTAGGCACAGGCGAGGAAAACACGCATTTGTCTGTGGAGAGCTCGAGTGTGTGCGTGTGAGGGATGGATACAGGGGCAAGGGGACTAGTCGAGGGCGGGGGCGTCGCGGCCTGCCTTCCAGGAGAACCTGGAGGCGTAGTGGTCGTTGCGGAAGTGTTTCTGGCCGATGCCGTAGAGTTTTTCGCGCGAGGTGAGGCCGAGGTGTTCGTTGAGGCCGAATCCGTGTTGCGGGCCGTCTGACACCTGGTCCGGCTGAGGCTGTGGGGCTTGTGGGTAGTCGTTCCAGACGAGTCCTCTTTGCTTGAGCACGGGGACGACGAGGGAGACAAAGTCTTCAAACGTGCCGGGGGCGAGGGTGTAGGCGAGGTTGAATCCGTCGACGCCGGCGTCTTCTACCCACTGCTGGAGCTGGTCTGCGATGGACTCTGGGCCTCCGACGATGGTGGGACCCAGACCGCCGAGTTTGATCTTGTTGGCCACGGCGGCCTTGTTCCACTTGGGCACGGAGGGGTCTTGGGTGGCAAAGTTCTCGACGGCCGACTTGATCGCGTTGCTCTCGGTAGCGCGCAGCTCTTCGTCGTCGCTGTACGTCGAAAGGTCGATACCCGTCCATCCGCCAAACAGGGCCAGGGCGCCTTGGTCTGAGCCGTGTGCGAGGTGTTGGTCGTACTTGCGCTGGGCTTCCTCGTCGGTCGCACCCACGATGGGACAGAGCAGGGCGAGGACTTTGAGCGATGCAGGGTCGCGACCAGCAGCGGCGGCACCGGATCGAGCGGCCTCGACGCGCTTCTTGGCGACTTCGGGCTTGTGCGCCGCAATGAAGATCACCTCGGCATGCTTGGCTGCAAATGCCATTCCGGGCCCAGAGGATCCCGCTTGGTAGATTACGGGGGATCGCTGCGGCGACGGTTCGCAAATGTGCGGGCCGGGGACCGATTCGAAGTACTTGCCACGGTGGTTGATCTGCCTCACACGCTCGGGTCGGGTGTAGACGGCAGAGGCCGCATCGTGAACGACCGCATCGTCGGCCCAACTGCTCTCCCACAGCTTGTAGACCACATCCATGTATTCGTCCGCCACCTCGTAGCGCTTGGCATGCAGCTCCTGATTCTTGGCACCAAACTGCCTAGCCGCCGAGTCCAGATAGCCCGTCACGACGTTCCATCCGACTCGACCGTTGGTCAGATGGTCGAGCGTCGAGAATCTACGTGCAAGCTCGTACGGATGCACGTACGATGTGGTGGCCGTGATGCCGAACGACAGATTGGTGGTGGCAGCCGCCATGGCCGAGATGAGCAGCAGCGGGTCAATCACGGGAAACTGAGCACCCGAGGCGAGCGCAGCATCGAGGTTGCCGGCGTAGACGTCGTAGCCACCCAGCACGTCGGCGAGGAAGAGCCCGTCAAAGTGGCCCGACTCGAGCAGCTTGGCATGGTCCACCCAGTAGGAAAGCTTGTTGTGGTACCGACTGCGGTCTGCTGCGTGCGTCCAGAGACCAGGGCTCTGATGGCCCGAGCAGCCCATCATAAAGGCGTACAGGATCATGCGCTTCTTGTCCTCGCCCACACTGGTGCCCAGGCTGAGCTGGGCCAGGCTTGCTTCGTTGGTGGCGGTAGGCGGCGTCATGTTTGCTGCGGTGTGTCGTGAAGGTGGTGTTTAGGAGCAAAGAGCGTCTGCGATGCACTTATAGTGCAGCTGAAGCCTGCGTCTTCGTTTTGATCTCCACACGGCACTAGCTCGAGCCAGAAGATCTGGATCTAGCCGGATCTCACGAGGGCCGACGGGGCCTGTGCGCGCCACAGTCTACCGCTGCTTGATTCATGGATGGCGCCATCGAGACGTGGGCGTAGCATGGTATAGCGTGTTCGCGGCGGCTATCACAAGCGATGGGCGGAGACTGACCTTGGGGCGGCGGGGCGGCGGGGCGG